AGCGACCACTAATGTTGCTCAAGGTTGAGCGTTCATGCTTGTGCAATTGTCAATTAAAAAGCAATTATTGCGCATGTCTGGGGCACCATAAGAACACGCATATATTCTGCATATGCATCTCTTACTAGAAAACGCATATTTAATTTTAAGGACCGTAGCGCCTATCACGCTGCGCTTACCATGCAACGCTTGCACGGAATGCGAAGTGTTTCCAACGCTCTGCTAAGACGAGATAGAGGTGGCACCTACCCGTCGCCTCGCGTTCTACACCTTATCACTTCTGAGACGGGCACGCACGGCCACGCGCTTTGTTTTCTAAAAGAAACTCCCAGATGGCGCTCATGGCTCACGTGTGACATGACTTGATGGGCTCGTCAGCCTCCGCTGCCCGCTCGAGGCACTCTAGCGCAGCACCTCCGGAATACCATTCACAGATTTTCTTGCGCAGAACATCAAATAATTTTTTTGTTCACTCTCTCCACACGCAAGACTATCGTCTTTCGACATCTGCAGATTACATGCAGATACGGGACCAATTTTTATTCATTTATTTTATTTGCATTATCCTCCATTTTTCTGTCACGCATAGGTCCATCATTTTCCGCTCAAAATCAACGACGCCGATGCGGACACTGGAATATCTGCGTAACGAGCGCTTTATTCAAACCAGTCCCGTCTTGGTAGCTTAGCCGAACGATGTTGCTATTAATTATGGAAGGCGAGAAAATAATGCTAGTGCTGTTTAGCAAACCGACAAAACTTTCTTCCCAGTGAGGTAACGGGCCGCTAGTAAAAGGCGCGCGGGCCACGTGTTTTCGACTCTTGACATGTGCACATGGCTCTTTGGCCAAACATAATTCTTGTGCCACAAAACCCAAGACCACTAATTATCAAAATTTTATACTCATCCCCTGATTTCAAGCAAAATAAGCTTTGCTTATTCTCAGTGTAATATTTCTAAACTTGCCATAATTCCAATATTTTGTTCCGTATGTTTAGCACAGCACGTATTGCACAGCACAGGTCGCTGACATTTCTATCGCACCATCTACTCAGCTTGTATGTTGACAAATTGAAAATCAACAATGAAGTATTTGAATGGGATAAGGACGTAAACTGTATTCAACCTATTGAGTGCAACCCTCGGCGAAAAAATAAAGAAAGGAAGAAACCTCACTGCGCACTTAGCGACCACGCAACACCTAGAAATGCACCAAGTAAAGTTCACAAACATAAACGTTCGCAGCATTATTCCAAAGGCAACCTGGCTAGAATCATTTTTACTCAGCACAGATCCCGACTTCCTCGCACTTACCGAAACGTGGATGTCAATTGATGTCAGGGACTTCGAGATAACGCCGCCAAACTATGTAACCTTACGTAAAGATAGAACCACACGTGGGGGAGGTATGGCCATCTTAGTAAGAAAAGATATCACTTTTACAGCCCTCCCCGATGTCGAAGGAGTGAAGGTGGTATTCTGTAAAATCGACTTAACCACCTGTCCAATGAAAATAGGTTGAGTTTATCGCAGCTCTCATCACCCTTAGAAGCAATGCATTCCCTGTATCAGTACCTGCGCATTCACGCTCTTGCGGTAGACTCATACTTGTTGGCGATTTTAACCTTCCCGATATTAACTGGCTCACCATGTACATCAATCACCTGCGTTCGACATCATTATTGATACTATGCTGACATTTAATCTCTCTCAAATTGCTAAAGAGAGCACACGTGTTCAAGGGCGTTCTTGAAATGTGCTTGACCTGATTTTGATTATTGACCACTTTTCCTCAGATAAGGCCACCATTCTACTAATGGATGCCATATCCGATCACAAGATAGGATCATGCTCGCTTCCTTTACATGAGCGTATCAGGAATTCTAACTCCATTGTGTCGTATCTTGACTTCAGCAATGCTGATGACAATAGTATAATAGACCACTTATCAAAAGAATTTAGTTCATTCGAGCAGCTTGCTTGTCATTCGAACATTGATTGATATGGAATCCTTGCGGCAGAAATTCAAAGAAATTGTATGGTTTTGCGTTTTTCACTACGTACCAACTAAAACAAAGAGGGAAAGACAGTTCAATCCATAAATAAATCGAGACATTATTCATGGAAAACGTGAAGCGCCTAAGAAAGTCTTCAAAACAAACATCGAATGTCATAATTACTAAGAACATTACAGAAGCCATTAGTTCCATGAGGTCTCAAATTAAAGCGCCCGAAAACTACTTTTTTTCTTGTACTTTACTTAACTTTAGAATTGATGAATCTTGAAAGTTTTGGAACTATTTAAATCCAAGAAATAAAAAAAATAGCAAAATGTCTCCAGATGAGCGCAGAGAACGAGACAATTCCTTCAATACGTACTTTTATTCAATATTCACTACGAAGAATGACATCTTATCACCTCTCGAAATTCACAGCGCCAGCCCTATTGAACATGTCCGCTTAAGCGAAGCAGCTACATCTGGCCTTTTGCTAAAAACAGACTAAAAAAACAACCAGGACCTGATAATATCAGTTTCTGACCCGTTACGCCGAATGGATAACGAAATATTTGTATTATCTTTAGGATGTCCCAAACAAAATGCTCACTGTCCAATGACTGGAAAGAGGCAAGGGTCATACCAATTCACAAATCGGGTAGTGATGTTGACGTCACTAATTACCGCCCGATATCCTTGACAACCACTATTTGTGAAATACTATAGCACATTATTCTTCAGCATGTCGCTACTTACCTTGAAAAGGAACGCATTTTGTCACCATTTCAGCACGTGTTTCGTAAAAGCCCATCTACCGTTACGCAACTAACCGTAATACTACATGAACTGTCATCAGCCACTGACCATTAAACGCGAATGGACTTTATTTCCCTTCACTTTGCAAAAGCATTTGAGCGGGTGTCACGTCGAAATTTGATTATTAAACTGCAGGCAAATATAAGTATAAGACCAATCACAAAATATATTAGCGCATATCTGACGAAGCGAACGCAGTTCGTAAAAATAAACAAGCAAACATTACAACTATCAGAAGCTATGACAGGTGTACCGCAGGGCAGCGTTTTAACCCCTACTCTGTTTTAAATTTTTATTAACAATTTTCCCCAATTCATTGGAACAAACAAAGGTTTTTAACGATGATTGCATCATTTATAAATAAATTAGTTTTCCTTCGGGCCATATTGTCCTTAGGAAGGCACTATTATCCGTGTCTAATTGATGCACAAAAACGCAGATGACCCTAAAAGTCTAATATTCTGGTTTGTTAAGAATATCGCGCAAAATATCCTATCGTATTTGGACTACACTATTGATGAGACACCGTTAACTCCCCTAAAACAGCATAAGTACCTAGGAGTAGTGATTTATGATGACCTTAGATGGAAGGCACATGTTAACTATGTTAAATTTGCAGCCTTAAAAGTATATTTTTCCTAAAAGAAGACGACTACGTTCCGCACCACCACAAACAAAACGCTTAGCCTATAGAACCTTAATCCGCCCATTATTAGAAAACGCTAGCTTTGTCTGGTTCCCGGCAACAAGTAACCTAATTTAAAGGTTGAAGAGATTCAAAGGAAAGCAGTTACATTTACCTATATTAAATACAGTTTGCTCGATTCACCCACTGAACTAATCACAAGAGCTGGGCTACAAACATTACCAAATGGCGCTGAACTCTCACGGCTAAAAATGATCTTTCAACTTATTCCTAGGCAGCTAAATCGACAGCTCTAGATTCATATCTACTTCAGAATCCAGACAGTCACGCTACAAACATCCACTCTAATTAGAGGAATATTGCTCCAGCACCAACTGCTTCAATTATTCTTTCTATTTCATTTCTATTCTATTTCCCTAGCCTGGATAGGCTTAAGGTATTGAGTTACATTAACCACCGGCTTCTTGGCCAATCCCCCTTAGTGGGTGAGAGCCACGACAAACAATCAAGCAAGGAATCAAGCTTCTTGTCGAAGCAAAACGGAGGTGTCCACAGCTGAAAAAAATTGTGCTTTTATTAACGCTTACAAAATTGTGAAATCTTAAAAAGCAATGCTTCAATCGATGTGCCAAACCCAACTAATCCACAAGAAAAATATCAACAAAAATGAAAACTCATTGTCGTGATGCAGTATTAGTCGAATGAAAGAACTATTGGTGATATTGTTACCTCATTTGTAGCGTTCCATCACTTGCTTAAAAACAGTGAAGCTGTGACTGCAGCGGAGTTACCTCGTAAAATACATGCTCCGCCACGGTGGTCTCGTGGCTAAGGTACTCGGTTGCTGACTGGCAGATCACGGGATCAAATTTCGCCTGCGGCTGCATTTCCGATGGAGACGGAAATGTTGTAGGCCCGTGTGCTCCGATTTGGGTGCATGTTAAACAACCCGAATTGGTCAAAATTTCCGGGGTCCTCCACTATGGTGTCTCTCATAATCAAATGGTGGTTTTGAGACGTTAAGCCTCACATATCAATCGTTTGGTATGCGATTATGACAATCGCATTTTTAAAACAAAAATGAGAAATAAAAAAACGCCAGGTGCGGAAAGTGCTGCAAAGTCACAGCGATAGTTGGAACAGTAGCATCTAGAGAGCAGGCCAGCGTAAACGCGCTTTGGGCTACTAATACAACTTTGACATTGGTGAAGAATTCGACTACGAACTTGGGTACGGTACAATAATTGGGAATAATATAATTATTACATCTGCGTTCTTGGGAATGTTGCTACGGCGTATTTAAAACCCATACAAAATCACTGAGTAGGTCACGTGTTGTAAGCAGCATAGCGTTTTCATATAGATTAATGGCAGGAGAGGGGAGTCGCATGTGCGTGTTATTTTCCCTGTATACGTGCATGTCGGCGCGGGAAACAGCTTACGCACCACGAATTTTTATGTAATTAGCGATTACACAGAAGTAGTGTTGATTATTTTAATGATGCAATAATTAGTTCCAAAATCATTTTGAACGTTCCAGGTTTAATGATACTAATTTAATGGGGAAATTTATTTTGGGAGATCCTCCACATAAAATAAATGTCTACAATGTAACAGGTAAGTGTTGTGCTTGTCTTATATCCTGAAACATTATCGAAGGAAATCACTAAAAATTTTGACGACGTGCTGATATTGTCATTTCGCTATTTAACATTGATTGATATGTGGGGTTTATCGTCCCAAAACCACCACATGATTATGAGAGACGCCGTAGTGGAGGGCTTCGGAAACTTCGACCACCTGGGGTTCCTTAACGTGCACCCAAGTCTGGGCACACGGGCCTACAACATTTCCGCCTCCGCCGTAAATGCAGCCGCTGTTGCCAGTGCTTGAACCCGCGACATGGGGGTTAGCAGCTGAGTACCTTAGCCACTAGACCACCACGGCGGGGCTGCTATTGAACATAGAACACCAGGACAGTACTGGCTAGTTCATGCGATACCTATTGCTGGCCTTTTTCAGTAGGAATAAGTGCTTTTTTCCTGCAAGCCCAATGCTCTACCCGAGCTGTTATCACATTTTCTGTGCGCGGGTACCGACAACGGCTTTTCCGGAGTGTCACGGGGCCTCACCGCAGTGGTCTAGTCGCTAAGGTACGGCTACTGATCCGCAGGGCGTAGGTTCGAATCCGGGCTGTGGCGGCTGCATTTTCGAAGGAGGCGAACATGCTGTAGGCCAACTTGCTGAAATTTCGGTGCACGTTAAAGAGTTTTAGGTGGTCAAAATTTTCGGAGCCCACCACTACGGCGTCTCTCATAATCATATGGTAGTTTTAGAGCGTTGAAAACCCTGCCTTTCATATAAATCAAAGTGCCACGGCTTCCTTAATATGAACTTGAGTATATATATGGGCAATGGGAAATGAGTGTGGGAAGGGGTTGGAAAGGGGAACGGAAGATGACACCTCTCGGCGCGTGCAACCACAGTATAAGCCACGCCGTTCTCTTTGCTTTTGTTTATTACCGAAGGCCATTTGCGCTGCTGTAGTACTCCCAATTGGACTTAGACTAGCGATTACCCTGCCCCCTCCCTCTCACTGCACCACTCCGCGTGTCTTATAAAGCGCCAGTTGAGCACACACTACGTGCATAAGGCGAAGCGTTTCGTATGCAGTATGTTCACGCAAACTAAGCGCCAAAGTTACGAAACCCATTTTGTTTTTGACAAAACCAAAACGGAGGAATACCAGACGCGCAGTAAAACGGCCTTACATCGATACGACAGTCGAAAGTATGAGCCTAATTCTCGCGTGGTCGACAGCTGGCACGTAGTGACGTCTCTTACGCTGATCAAGGCACTTGTGGCGTGCTTTCATGAAAATACTATATATTGTAAGAATTCATTGGACTTCATCTTCCTCATCTGTTGATAACCATCACCAATCTTCGTTTCGTTCTTTTCATCATCGGCGTCATGTTGCTGTTGCTTAAATAAAGCATCAGCTGAACCGTTGTATTTCAAGTGGTGGAAGGTGCTTCCCGATCTCTTCGACCTCTCTCCATCCAAAGCCAACTCCTGGAGCACCGTTCGGGACGTCGCTTTCGCCAGCAGAGCACCATGGTGCAAGAGCAAGCCCAACCGAACCACCCGCCGGCGCAACCACTAGCCGCCAACCCTAGCCCGGTCAACAACCCCCCTGAGGAGCCTCCAACCTTCTCCTGTCGGCCTGGCAAAGATGTCGAAGACTGGCTTGACAACTATGACCGCGTAGGTGTCTACAACAACTGGAACGAGGCATGGAAATTAGCACGCGTCCAATGTTACGTATTTCAGGTTGCCAAGACATGGTTCCTAAATTATGAGAGCAACTTCCGCGATTGGTCTTCGTTCAAAGAGCAGCTCAGACGTATTTTTGGTACACCGACCGTCCGTTCAGAAGTTGCTCGGAAGAAACTGGCAGAACGCGGTGAGTCCTACACTTCTTATATTGAGGATGGGCTTGCACTTTGCCGCCGTATCGACGACACCATGTCAGAAGCTGATCGTGTCCGGTACCTCCTGAAGGGTATCGGACCTACCGCTTTCAACGCCCTTGCCGCGCAGAACCCTTCGACGGTTTCCGTCGTCGTCTCTGTATGCCAGCGGCCTGACACCTTGCAGTCAATCCGCCTGGGACCCGACTCTGAGAACGCCCTGGCAAACAGTATGAAGCTCCGATCCATCATTCGCGCCATAATTCGTGAAGAATCGCAAGCCTACAGTGTACTTCCTTCTAACAACGTTCCCGCTCAACCCGCCTGTAGCAATCTGCGTGGTATGATTAGGGAAGAAATGTCAGCGTTTAAAAGCACCCACCATGCTCCACCTTGCCCCCAACCCACTTCGTATGCACAGATCGCTGCAATGCAACCTTCGCAGTCTCAAGTACCACCACCTGTACCTGATCACGAACATCTCGCACCTCTAGTCGCCCGTCCACCGAACCCTACCTACCATACTTCTTAGCGGGCCCCACGGCCCATTTGCTACTACTGTGGACTTCGAGGACACATTTCCCGGTTCTGTGAACGTCGGCAGCAAGATGAACGTCGTGGTTATAACGATTTTGAACGTGACGACACATATGCTCGAAGTTACTACCGTTATGCCGACAGTCCTCCCAACCACCGATCCCCTTCTACTGTGCGTATTTCCAATACGACCAACAATACACGTGCCTCCCGACCACACTCCTCTTCGCCGCTCCGACGCTCTGTTTCACCACTTCGGCCTGTCTCTCAACTGGCTGCCCAGCACTCGGAAAACTAAACAGTGCAGTTTTTGGAGGAAAAACTGCATTGCAGCGAAATGACCCAGTCCTCCTGAATGACTGTCAAACATGTTATTGGTGTCTATGCAAGGTGTGCGGGTGTTGGCTTTAGTGGACACGGGAGCAACTATTTCAGTTATGCGTGCCGACTTGTGTTCTCGATTGCGGAAAGTGAAGACACTCTACCTTGGATCATCTTTGACTGGGGCCAATTGAGCGATAATTAGACCATCGGCCCAATGTACAGCGCGTGTGCTCATTGATGGTATTTGTCATCACATCACATTCACTGTCTTAATTTCATGTGCTCATGAACTAATTTTTGGTTGGGACTTTCTATCATCAGTCTTTGCAGTAATTTCTTGCCGTCAACGTGTAGTCGAGATGACCGAGACCGAGCACTGTAGCGAACGCATCGACGAGAAACCATTGCGTTTTTTTACAGCTTCCGATATTATACTGCTCCCGAGTCAGGAGCAACTGATCACCATCACTTCTCCGAATATTGCCAATTCCTTATCACCCCTTCCAGCCGCTGCCTAGCTCACGGCGTTGTAGTCCCCTCCATTCTAGTGCGGTTCAAAGACAGTGCTGCGGTAATCCTTGGCCTGAACCCTACCCCGGAGCCTGTCCTCCTACCTCAAGGTTCTGCAGTGTCAAGTTCTGGGGATACCCAACCGGTATCTTTGGTATCTTGACGCTTTGACAGCTTAGCCACAACCGGGCCAGTCTGTTACTTCCTCCTTCTTTGCTCCCGGGATAAATCCTGACGTTTCTGCTTCTCAACGTGAGGCATTGCAAAATTTGCTAACGAAACACCAGGCCTCCTTCTACTCCAATGCTTTGGCACTAGGACAGACCACAGCTGTGCATCATCGCATCGACACTGAAGGTCAGACTGTTGTACGCCGTCGTACCTACCGAGAATCTTTGGCCGAGCGCAAAACCATCGATGAGAACGTGACCGCTACGCTAAAAAACATCATACGACCCTCTACCAGTTCTTCGTGGTCACCTGTTGTGCTGGTACAAAAAAATGGATCGGTACGACTTTGTGTTGATTACCGCGCGCTCAACGAGATTACCCGAAAGGATGTATATCCAATGCCCCGTAGAGATAATGCACTTGACTCATTGCAAGGCGCTCAATACTTCTCAACCCTTGACCGTCGGTCCGGATATTGGCAAATACTATTGGACGAAGCAGACAAAGAAAAGACCACCTATTCTACGCCGGACGGTCTTCACGAGTTTAACGTAATGCCAGTCGGCCTATGTAATTCTCCCGCCACATTTGAAAGCATTATCGACACTGTTCTTCGTGGCCTCAAGTGGAAAACTTGCCTATGCTACCTCGATGATATCGTCATGTTTTCTTCCACTTTCGCTGATCACTTGCAACGCCTAGATCAAGTGCTCACATGTCTCTCCAATGCTAGACTTCAAGTAAACAAAAAAGTGCCACATGGGCAACACAGCTATAAAAGTTCTGGAACATCTCGTTAGTAAAGATGGCATCCAGCCAGATTCAGAGAAAATTTCCGCAGTCCTCAACTTTCCGCGATCCTTTCGTTCCGAAGAACTACGCAGTTTCCTTGGACTCACATCGTACTTTCACCGCTTCATTCGCAACTTTGCCACTATTCCTGCTCCTCTCCACAAGCTCCTTGCTAGTACCGGTTCCTTCGATTGGAATGATCAATGCAAAGCCTCATTTCAAGCATTCAAGCACGCAGTGACATCCCCACCAGTGCTTTGTTATTTCGATCACAAGGCACCAACGTTATTAGACACTGACGTTAGTGGACAAGGAATCGGCGCCATACTCCTCCAGCACGACCATGTCTTTCGCGAGAAAGTTGTCGCGTATGCAAGCCGCACTCTTACCTCTGCAGAGAAGAGGTACTCGATAACTGAACAAGAGTGTTTAGCTGTTGTCTGGTTCATCCAAAAATTTCGTCCGTATCTACATGGTCGACATTTTAGTGTTCTGACAGGCCACCATGCTCTTTGCTGCTTGTCCACAATCAAAAACTTGTCGCGACGACTTGGCCGATGGATAATCCGGTTACAATCATATGACTGACGTCATCTACAAGACTGGAAGACAACACCAAGATGCCGACACTTTGTCACGATGCCCTTTGCCGCAGTCTTCGGTGCACGTCACATCCCATTGTCAAATTGGCTATATGGAGGACGCCTCGTCGATATCATCCATTTTTTCCCTAGCTTCATCCACCCATCCGTCAGTACTTACCACTCACCAGCGAGCCGATTCGTATTACACTGACCTCATTGGTCGGCTTACCGGCGCTTCATCATACCTAAATGTCATGCTCCAGAAACAACTCCGACTATTCAAGTTGGAGGACGATGTGCTATATCGATACATTTTCCACCCGGAAGGCCACCGATCGGTTACCGTCGTACCACGCGCACTACGCACTGAAGTTCTGCGCGCTTCCCACGACGACCCGACGTCAGGCCACTTGGGTTACTACGAAACATACGAGCGCATTCGTAGTTGATTCTTTTGGGCAGGTCTTTGCACGATGGTAGCTAAATATATTGCCTCGTGCGCACTTTCCCAACAACGCAAGCGGCCCACTACTGCTCCAGTCGAGACCCTACAACCACTTCCTTGTCCAGCAGAGCCATTCTCTGTCGTCAGAATTGACCTCTTCGGGCCCCTCCCAACTACATCAGACGGCATGAGATGGATCGTCACCGCGGTTGATCACTTGACGCGGCACGCTGAGACGGCCTCGACCAATTCAGGAACTGCTTCCGAAGTAGCAACTTTCTTCTTGAGTGCTATTTACCTACGTCAAGCAGCCCATCGTGTTCCTTTGCGCGACCGGGCTGTTGTGTCGTGGCGCCACCTGTGAATGGCGCGCGCACTGAGTGCGCCTAGTGTGTACTTTGTTCAACAGATGTCGCCTGTAACGGCACACACGGTTGAAAGCTTCGTAGCACTTATTTTATGGTACGGCTTTTTCGGGGGCCAGTCAGTCCTTTCATGGGATGAGCGTAGTGCATGTTTTTTTCACGTTTCGCTGGACAAAATAAAAGTATATGTGGTTGCTCACTCTCTGGCATAATGAGTGAATAAACTACGTATACGTCATGTTGTTTAGCAGTAAGATTTCACAGAAATATGGGTTGTTTTATTCTGACTTTTGTCGTCCTCGTCAGGGTGCACCTAGGAGTTTGAATAAGTGCTCAATTTTTATGCGGTGGTGAACTCTTCATAAAGCTAGAGTCACACGCGAGAGCGAAATCCCGCTGTTCCGCGGACCGAATAGTCATGTGCTTGGTTTATTTTGGCGCAGCAGCGGAGACGTCGCATGCACACAGCCGGAGCTGCGCTCACGGAACCCTCGTGCATACTCTCGACTCCTATGCATATGCAGCGCGCTTATATGGTCATGCAGGCCACGCACCGTCAATGTAAACCACTAAACCACAACCAAAACTACCAAAAAGCACTCGCCTCTTGCATTGTCACCCGAAACACATTCGGTCGTTGCCAGAAAACTAAAACATGTGGATTTTAAGCTGGCAGCTTGCTTCCTAGCCACGCCAATCTGACCAATGTTGACAGATTCGACGCTGAATCTTCTCGATTGAGAGCAGACGACCGTCAAACGGAGGGATCAAAATAGCAGCGACACATTTCCATCCGTGCCACGAGCACAGGAAAGCGGATGAAGCTAGGACGGCAAAATTCAATTACGCGCACGTCTCGTGATGCGCCATCCGCGAAAGTTCCTCTCCCGTTCCCTCGTGTGAATCTACCTTAAAAAAATACTGTTTGCTTCGTTTATTCATATCGTTTTGAAGCGAATATTATTTTAAAAGTAGAAATGGGGCTTCACAACGATGAATTGCTCTCGCAATTTTTTGAATTTTTTGCATCTTAAGGGCCGTTTTTGAAACACATATCCACTGCACTAACAGAAAAATGGTTCCGCAACAAGAGTATTTTGTCCAAAGATTTAGTGAGCCATTAGCCAATGACGCTCACCGCTGTGTTGGTAGACCTGTGTAGTGTGACGACTAGTGAGCTTGTCGAAAACAGTCGTGAATCCTATACGAGGGAATAATACTTCTGAGGAGTATAAAAGAGAGTAATGCCCAGGTAAGTTGAATTTGTATTGGCCACCATGTCTATTGGTTCACAGTAATACTGTTTCTAAAAAAAAAAGATCCGTAAACTCCCCACTTTTTTGCTTCATTTACGAAGGAACGGTGCTTCAGCAGGTGATAGGGCTAACACCCCGACGGAAGGCGCAGTTCATTTATAAGCACTTACGATGACGTCTAGGTTGCAGGAATCGGCGGCGGTTGATGCGGCTATTTTCGACGAGGGCTAAATGCTTAGCTTACAGTTCCTGCTGTACCCAGCTCGGTTGATGATAAAAGCTCACGTGCAAGAAGCGACTTCTCCCTTGCGAAATTGCTCTCGCAATTCGTACTTCGCGTTGACACAACTCAAAAGCAGGACAGAGAAGGCTAGCTATAATTTGAGCCTTCCTCCCAAATGTGCAATCAGTGTCCTTCATGCTTTATGCCTTAAATTTGGAACATGTGCATATATTGACAGGACAGCTGGAAAGAAAATTTTACGTGAGCTAGTTTTGCGCTACTGGTGAATGAGACGAAACTAGGGGTTATTTTCAGGAGAAGTAACATAGATGTGTAAAAGCCAAATTTAGAATTTTGTAGCGCACCTCACATGGGCCTCTTTACAATCCACTGCTACGTAGCGTGATTTATTGAGGTAAAGGACGCCACTGCAGATTACTTATTCATGCTGTCCATGCCTTCTAAGAATAAATAGATAAAAAAACTTTGTTGGGGTCCTGAAGTATTCCAACCCCGTTTTAAAGGGGTAATATCGCGGGCCGCTCCCACGTAGGGACGGGGAGGCCCAGCCTCACCGCCGCGTCGTGGGCCTTCTGGACAGCCTTGAGTTGTTGTATGAGGACCGGACTCGTGAGCAATAAACGAATGGAATTTTAGAAAAATTCTTCATTTTTTCTTTGTAAAAGGGGCACCTCCAGAGCATGTGGTTAAAATTACTGCGATTGTGGCAGTCCGGACAGAGGCCTAAAATGTCGGGGTGGATATCAAAATTTTTGGCGCTTAACACGCCAGCTTGCAGGTGTTATATATTTAGTGGTTCATCCCCTCCCCTTCCATCTGCCAACAGCTGTCATTCAAGAATATGTATTGGGAATATTAGCTGCAGTAATAAACTTGTACTCTTCTTCTCGTCCTAAAATGCGCGAGAAAGTTGAATGCGGTATTTTCATGCTTTTCTCGTTGATGATCGATTCATGTCTGTCATTCTTAACTTTTGTATACTTTATCACGCGGCTTCTTAGTTTTCGTGCATTAATTTTTTTTTTGCTTGAACAGGCAATGTTTTCGAAGATACTCCAATTGTGCATGTTTTACCCCTGATTTTGGTTCATAGCGAGTATTTCAACGCTTAAGCAATTTAACAGTGCACTGTACGAGGCCAAGATATATTTCGAGGCTCAAATAGTCCCTCTAGTTTTTGCGGAGTTCAAACATGTTGTTCAAAAATAGTTCTAATGTCTTGGGAAAAAAGTATCTCACATTAACATGTTTGTTTTCAATTCAATCACTAGATCCCATTCCAGAACCATTTCTAAGCTCATACTGCATGGAGCTCCTTTACAATGAACCATACACATATAACTGCAGCGTGCTTCTTGTATCTACAGACATATACGGAATGTGCAGTAAGTAATCAGCTCTACTAATATAATTTTCACTTCGGAAACTAAAGCTAACCAAGCACAGAAATTTATAACCTGTTATTTTTGACAATGAAGCATGCAGATTTCAATATAATTTAATACTTTATGATTTGATAGCCTAGGCATCGTACTAAGGCCAAGACTACTGGTCATTTATGACCTGAGGTTGTCTTGCCTTCATACTACGTGCCCTGTCCATGAACATTTCTTCGTGTGTATTCCAACTATGACGTCCTTAACACCCGCTTGTTACCTGATACACCATGTTCTCTTCTTGTTCCTTATAGTTAAACTTATCATTTTTTCTTTCCATTGCTCGCTGCATCGTCCTCAACTTATGTTAAACCCCACTTAATATTCAGGTGCTGCATTAAATGCACTCCACAGTTGTTGTTTGGCAATACACTTATCAAAACAAGTTAGATCACCGACGTCCGTTATCTTTCTTGTTAGCCTCATTTTGTGAAGGTTAGGCTGACTGTATAAAAATAAGCATCTTTATAGCATGAAAATTATAGAAGAATAGTAAGTCCTCTGTGAGCTGCCAAAATAATTCAAAATGCGAAATAATGTGTGATTTGTATGTGAATAGTTGCTATTCGCTTGGAAAATTTCAAGGTAAATTTCCGCCGAGCGTGACGGCAGCAAACTTATCAATTTGATGCAATTAGTTCCGCTCTAGAAAATATTTATCCAGGAAATAATTAAGGCGCAGAACCAGTATGTCTCTATTTTTCATTATGAACTAAATTTGACATGTCGTGCCTCTCGTGAGTACACAAAGCACAAATATTGCTGTTGAATACACTTGCGGTTACGTTCTTTGTTATTTTCAGATCATTCAAATCCTGATGTGCTGGGTAAGTTCATCGCTGGAATAATATAGAGAGGTCTATTAAGAGTAAATGCGAGATGAAAAATGCAGTAGTTGCTTGTGAGGTGTACAAACAAGTTTACTCAAAAGTTTCTAATTACAGATGCTAGTATGCGCAAAGTAATTTAATTATGATGCGTCAACACTAGCGTAGTGTTTATTCTCGTCTATAGACGAGAGCAGGCCTATCTCACCCCCGGGCGCCTTCGGCGGTATACCCTCGCTTCCAAAGATGCCATAATTTGTTTGTACCTGCCAAGGTGCGCCTTGCTAGCAAGGCATGCGGTGGCTCTGGGAGTTTAAAATGAGAAAAAGTGCCTGTTAACGCTGCGCCCGCTTATAAAATGTCTGGGTACCACTACGCTGTCATCTGATGCGATAATAACCAGCGGAAGAGGAAGAGATTGCTGAGCACTGTCTGTGAAGTTCACAGCGCATTGCGGGAATCGTGCCGGTGCGGTGTCTTGTGATTACACATGTTTCCGTCCACAACGAAAAACGCTGATCTCGACCGCCCTATAGGATATAATCGCAGTCAGCAGGCAAAACCACGAGGCCAGTGAAGCGTACGAGTAAGTATACTTATTGCGTTCATTCAAGCGTGACTCCAGCTGTTCCACTTTACAGCAGCCATTTGCATGCAGTATGCCTGTAGTATGCGGCACAGAACTATTGCGCACTCTTTCGCAGGCAACGTGTTAATAATAGGATGTGATCATTACGACTGACGCATGAATGCACGCGCCACGCATGTTTAGTACAACTGTAACGGCCTACTATCGCGATGAAAAGAGAGGTGAACAGCGCCGAAAGCCTGGCTTTCCGCTCGGTCGGACTGCGACATGTCTTGACTGTCACTAAGCGAATCTACATGTGCTTTCGGCTGGCGTCACCATAGCATTTTAAAATCCAGTTTAGGCTAGCACTTTTGTACGCGTGTGTGTTCCGAGTGCCCAGAATTACTGGTAATTCATACAAATGCACTGAATGAGCGTAAGTTGAAGTCAGAACCTAGTGCTACATTGACGCAGGCTTACAGCAAAAATTCTGCCCTGTTACAGCCAAGGCACGCCGCAGTTAACACTAATCGCGTTTCTTTCAGTCGGATAATACGTACCTGATGAAGTTGCTACCGCAGTCTGCAATGCACGTGCTGCAGACATTCCGAACTCTCGAGAAAGGTCTCCTCGACGTTTTACACACGATCACAATAATATTATGGCACAGGAACAGCGAGAAAGGTGTATACAGCCGCACTCGGGTTGTGAAGTTTCGCGTTTGATTTGCAGAGCGTCTGCTCGCGTGACAGTTGTGGATGTTGCTTCGCCGCGCTTGCAACAGATGGCGCCACGCGCTTTTTCGAATGGCAGCAACCAATGAGCTCTTTGTTTTCCGGTGTACAGTATGCTATATTTTAAAGTGTGGCACCTGAACCTGTGAGCAAACTTAACACGAACACTCCGAATCATGTCCTAAAACAGTTCGATCGAACTTAATGCTGCGTAGTTTTGGATTCGGTTGCCGAGATGTCACTGATACATGCTGATATGCTATCCAAGCATACCGAGATATTATCTCGGTAACAGTACCCAGCGCTTCGTGGTTGGCATAAGTCAAAGTAGTCCACGTGACGCGTTGGAGCGTTCCTGTTAAATTTGCTGACGACTGTGCGTGAAGTCGGCAAACGACGCAGGAAAAAAAATGGCAGCAGAGCCGCGGAGTGAATGATGGACAGTAGGGCAAAGCATCTGTCCGTCCATTCGTTCTTGCTTCCATCCGTCCATGCGTGCGTCTGTGTGGCCGCCCGTGCGTCCATCCGCCCCTCCGTGCGTGCGCCTGTTCGTACGTCCGCACGTCCCTCTGTGCGTGCGTCCCTGCGTTCGTCCATGCATCAGCTCCTGCGTCCATCCATGCGTCCATACGTCCGTGCAGCCATCCGTGCGTCCGTTCATGTATCTGTCTGTGTGTCCATTCGTCCACCTATCAACACTCCAAGTACCACCATCTCGCATCTTTTCATTAAATTTTTCTTATATAGAAGCACCGCCATCCAGAGGACATTCCAAGGACGGAACGAGAGAAGGCACACGCACACTGTCTTACGGCTTGCATTTCGTGTCTACTTCCCACCTTTAACCACCTCGAGTTTATGGTGTATACTAGTTCACTTTATTCATGGCACTGCGGCTCAACGATCGCTAAAACCTTTCTAAAACCAAGGTGGTTACGCCCAGCGAATATAACATAGCCACCCTTTCTTGCCAGATAGTGCTCAGTGTACATGCCAACGGCTGCTAATTGGGAATGAGAGACAGGAGAATTCGGCTTTTAGTTAACGCGCACGCTGAGACTTTGTTTATTGTTCAACAACACACAGAAGAAATCTCTCACCAGCACCACCTTGGAGGTAAAAATGTAAGATTGGTTACACACTGCTACTACGACTAAAAGGGACAAACGGATGCGGCTATAAGGAGCTTCGCTCCTAAATACGAGGGACGCCCAAGCCACGCCATAAGGAGATTCTTAGCGTCTCACGTCGTCGTTAGCGTCTCACGGCGTCCCTGGGCTGGCGGACGCCCGTCATGGCAAGCCAGCCCCCGAAGAAGGCGTTAGCCTTCGACGTAGTCGTCCCCGAGGGGACTAGTCCCGAAGACGTCGTTGACGCGACGTCTTCAATAGTAGGAATCGAAGAAGTATACTGCGTTCAGCACTTTGGAGGCCGGAACTACCAAGTTACCGTCAACAGTGAGGCCGCACTGGCCCAAATCATAGACGCGTCGCACCTCACCATCCGAGGAGAGTGCGTCGCCATCGTACCCCTGGGACCCCAAGTGACCCGAGTGACCGTCCTGTTCCTGCCGTGCCGCGTACCCAGCGAAGTCCTCGCACAAGCACTCTCTCCCTACGGGAAGGTGCTGCACATCACCAGAGGACTCATGGGATCGCGCCCAACCGTGACCACTGGGACGCGATACGTCCGCATGGAAATGAAGGCTTCGTCACCGGTGCCCAACTACCTCAAGGTCGCGGGCCATCGAGTAACCTGTGACTATAAAGGCATCCAGCGAGTGTGCCGTCGATGTGGAGACAGTGGGCACTTCCGCATGAACTGCACAGCTCCGTTTTGTGGAAGGTGCGGCGTTTATGGCCACGACGGGAAAGGCTGCTCGCTGCCCTGCCGCCGTTGTGGGGACCCGCATGCCACCGTGGCCTGCACCATCAGGCCATCGTATTCCGAGGCGGCATCCAAGGATTTCCCTCCACTTGAACCAGGAACGCCATCTAAGAACAAGTGCGACGATTCGTCAACGCGAGCCGTGGTAACCGACCACGACCAAGGTGTGCCAATCGCGACGCTGCACCAGACGCCCACTGCGTCCCCAACGATTCCGGGCCTGGTACTCCCTCCAGGTACCGAAAACTTAAGTTCCCCGCGTCCCGTGGCCATTTCTGAGGAATCGCAGGCCAAGCCCTCGTCAGACGAAGCGCCTCGTGAGGACGGCGTCTCGGATGGGAATATTGCATCTGAGGCTCCTCGCGTTGCTGCTCTGTCGACAACAAGTTCAGGTGTCATCGAGGAGTCTACATCTCAAGACGACGACGCCTGCATTAACGAGGACTCCAACAGCACCGCGAGTGAGGCGCCCCTAGAAATTGACGAAGACACCAGCCCCAGTTACTTAAGCCAGGACAGTGGAGACGTCTTTGTACCATCCTCGCTCAAAAACCCGGACACCAAACGCCACCGGATAACTACTCGTGACTTAGAAACCCCCACCAGAGACAGAAGTCCCCTGCGGACTTCGACGCGATCACGGAAGCCCCGAGCCTCCGGTGGATCGCCTGGCCGGAAAAAATGACTCAGCCACTTGCGGGGCATTGGCTCCCGCACCTGATAAAGGTACCCCTGCATTTGCGTGATTGTATACTATGTTTTCATTTTCCCCATGGCTCTTACTCTAAAAGTTATTACTTTTAACGTTCAAGGTTTCCGAAATCCACAAAAACAGGCTGAGGTACTGGCTTTTGCACGTTCAGTGCACTGTGATTTGCTGTTCCTGCAAGAAACAAATTTTTTCAAGCTTTCTGATGTACTCGCTTTCAAGCGCGCGTTCAATTTTGATTGTTTCTTTTCGTACGCCAGCACGCATTCGACTGGCGTCGGAGTCGTTATTTTTAACCGAGGTCTTTTACGTGACCATCATGTTTCCTTCGATGCCTTCGGACGCGTGCTGGCGTTCGACTGCACCTTTGTTTCGTTAAGAATAAGATTTGTTGCCGTGTATGCCCCTGCGGCACGCGAGAACTCAAACGCGTTCTTCCAATCTCTTGATGTGTTTCTTTTAAATTCCCGACATGTGGTACCTTTAGGGGATTTCAATTGTGTCTTAGACTCACACGCAGACGTTCGAGGTCCGGGTCGCGGCCGGTCAAACTGGAATGCCAGAGAACTCGAACGTCTAGTGCAGCAATTGGCATTGAGTGACATTTATCAAAGTGTGCATGGCAGTAATTATGCCTATACTTGGCGTCGAGCAGCGTCGAGCAGCCGAATTGATCGCGTGTATGCATCCCCCAGTCTCATTACCTACGTTCACGACACCGGGGTAATGTCATTGCCACCGACACCAGTATACATTAGCGACCATCGGCCGGTTATGTTCTCTCTCCGCCTGCCAGCGGGGACGCCAACGGTTCACAGACCATGGCGTCTCGATTGCCGCGTCCTCCAGGACTCTCAGGCTACAGAGAAATTATCCCGAGCATTACGCGCATCGCTCATTGGGGCCGATGTAGCTGATTGGGATCGCCTCAAAGAACAGTGGCGGCATCATTGCAGTGCGTCGGGCAGAGGACTTTGCAACCGTATGTCGAAAGATGCGTCATTGTTAATCCAGAAGATACGCATTGCCAATCGAGATCCCAGTCCTTCCAGTTTAATGCGGGCATGGCAAGAGGAGCTCGTTGAACGGTACCAGCGAATTATGCGCGCTTCTTCACTCTCGGCTGCAGCTTGGCGCTGTAGACGTGCACCCTGTGCGCACCCTGAGGTGCTAAGGTATGCACGCAGAGCTCTGCTTTGTCCACCAGGCTCGCCTGCCCACTCGCTGAACTCTATCACTCCAGCTGCTGCGGGTACGCGCGACTTTCAGGAATTCACTCAACACTTTGAGTCAATGGCTAAATCTGATGCTAATGTCTGTTACCCAAGTTCCGTTTCTTCGCATCCTCTGCTAACAGATTTAGCTCATGATTCCAACATGTCAAATGACATCCTCCTATCACCGCCATCCGATGACGAAATCAAAGGCGCATTAGACGCAATGAAAAAGGGATCGGCCCCAGGGCCTGACGGACTCCCTGCAGAGTTTTATGTACAGTTCTGGCCCATCATTGGTCCAACTATGTCACGCGTCATTCGCAAGTGTTTTTAAGACATTACACTTCCAACTTCTTTCCACAAAGACCGTATAACACTAGTTCCCAAGAAAGACCCAATGTCCACGCGACCAGAAGATTGGCGCCCTATTACCCTGCTCAATGTAGATTACAAGCTCTTGGCTAACATTTTGGTGCGCCAAATCAGTCCATTTCTCGCAACATTAATCGCTCCCCACCAGGTCTGTTCTGTTCCGGGCCGAGAAATACACACCCATACGTGGTTAACGCGGGACGTCATTCAATACACCATTAGCCGATGTGCGCAAGGACTGTTGGTTTCATTAGATCAATAGAAAGCTTTTGATTTCATAGAACATGGCTTCATACGAAATGTTTTACATGCATACGGATTCCCGGATAATTTCATTGACCTTATCAACGCGATGTACACTAATTTAGAAAGTACCCTTTACTTAGATTCCCGTGAGAGTCACGCATTTAGAGTCACGCGTGGGGTCCGTCAAGGGTGTCCCCTCTCCCCAGTGTTATTTATCCTTGCATTAGAGCCCTTCTTAAGGGCCGTTGAACATCACCCGCAGATTCGTGGCTTACCTCTACCCGGTAACACTCAAGTAAAAGTCGCTGCATATGCAGATGATATCACTCTATATGTACATAATGAACAGTCGCTGCAGCATGCTCTTGATACATTCCATGATTTCGGTATTATCTCCAGTGCAAAGTTAAACTTTTCTAAAAGCCAGTATTTTTTCATTGGCAACCCCAGCGGTCGTATCAACATCACGTCGCCTTTACAGTGGTCTCCTGAGATTTCAATACTCGGAGTTACTTTCACTGTATTTGGTATACAGGATAGCATCTGGTCATCGGTTGTACAAACTCTTCTAAATGATATCAAAGCAGCCAGGCACTTCGATTTCCCCCTCTTGGAACGCCGATGCTTAACTCAAACGGTGTACCTAGGAAAATTTTGGTACTTTTGCCACTCTGTTAAACCACCGCTCCACGTCTGCAGGAAAGTGCAAAGCTGCATCAGTTCATTTTTCTGGTCTGGTGGCACAGAATTGTTATCGCGTCCAGCGTTAGCTCAACCGCGAGATCAAGGCGGTTTTGCATTCCCTGACGTTTCCGTCGCGGCTTCTACAGTGTGCCTCCGCACTCTATTGCGAATACTAAGCAATGATGAGATCCCCGCTCAGACACTGGCTCGCTACCATCTGGGGCCATCACTACGTGTCTTCTTGCCGGATAGCCAAATAAACAAAGGTCCCCAATCAACTGAATTACCATCTTTGTATCGAGCCCTTCTGGCATTTCACCGACGTTTGGAAGCTACGTGCCCAGAGATAGAGGTGGCTGATTCTAAAGTGGTGGACACAATGGCCGCCCTTCTACGGCCCTTAGTGCCCCAGCATCGTCAATCTGTATTGAACCGCGCTTGGAAACCAATAACTGCCGCAGTGTTTCCAGGGCATCTCAGAGACTTTGTCTGGAGATTGGGCTGGGGCTTGCTCCCCACGCGAGATCGGTTGCAGCGATGGCAGGTAGTTCGCACTTCCACTTGCCCCAACTGCGTCATGGTAGAGACCAATCGACATGCGACGTTTGAATGTGTGGTTTCCCGCCTTTTTTGGCGTGCGGTTAATGCCGGTTTTCGGGGACAGGGTGTGCGAACTTTCGTGTCCAACGGCCGATTTCCGCGTAGCCGCTTCTCCGCTCTCTTAATAGTTGCGGGGCTGTTCAGCCTTTGGAGAAACCGATGTGAGGCCATAGCTGCCAATTGCCGCCGACGTGCTTTGTGGCCGATACTGGGGAGAATGAGACGAGAAATCCTCGCGTTCCTCTCCGAAGAGCTTTTCTTCCTCGGGGAGCAAGAGTTTCTGCGGCATTGGTCGTGCCCTTTCGTCAAGGTGGAACACGAAAGGATACAACTCATTTTTCGACCGACTTGGTGCTAAGCAGCGCCCGTTGAGTTGTTATATATGATTTCATTTGTTACAAATTGTGTTTCATCTGGATCTATTGTATCGTTATACCCTTGTATCGTGATATCACATGGAATTTTCGTGTACATGTGCGCCAACATAATCATGTATATTAGACCAAATGTCTTCACTGTAACGTAGTGATGTTAGTCGTGAAATATAGATGTGCCGAAGTGTATGTGCCCTGTTACTGGAATGATATGAAGCCTTTGTGTTCTGTACATGCTGTAAATAAACTTTTTCTAAACAAATACAATACCTTCATTGGTACAAACCGGTCCCTCCCTCCCTCCCCCCCCACACACACAGACACACACACACACAGACACACACACACACACGAACTAAAGAAAATACTATTCAACCAAAGTCTGTTCAACAGTTTATCCGCAAGCGCGTAAGTTGTAGCGAGCGTCCGTATACAAAAGAAATGAACCATTTTCAGTGCCCGCGGCTTGGTTTTAAAATGGTGGCGTGAGTCCGCTCGCCACTCACCTGCTGTCTATCACTCTATCACATTGTTCGATGAGACATGCACTTCATAATTTAGGGCAGCTACCCTGAACGAGCATGAAATGAACAAGGAAAAACAATTGTCCTCATCGTGCGCTAAGCAGATTAGCAATGCGCATGTGGCAATTTCGAGGTGAGCTAGAAGTATGTCAGAATAAGGCAAGATTCAAAGTGAACAGACAAAGAGAACAGGCAAGCGAACAAAGAGAGTAGTTGCCATTCCTGATACAAAATATAAATTTCGTAACAGAATATTTATGTTCAGTTTGCTTGAGCAAGAGCACACAATAAAGTTGAGGCCATTGCTCAAGTCAAGAAGTCATAGTACCGAAAACCGTTTGTCGGTTGAATATATTACCAATGTAACCGTCCTCATGACCCAATGTAAAATATGTTAGACTCGTGAGCACCTGGTGTCATTTGAACGCTATAAATGAGGTCGAATTCAGTATTGAATGAAATCTTGAAACGTTTAAGTAAAACCGTACCCTCAGAGAGCTTCAGTGAAGGCTTATTTTGTTCGTTCGGACACTGCAGCTGGAATTGTAAAACTTCTTTCACCATGTGTAGAGAGCACATGAAATAACACGTAGTTGAAGAAGTTCACTGATCTGTACACCATTCTACTATAAACAACTTCTTAATTTTATGAAAAAATTATATCAAGGGCTGAAATAATGTGTAATTTGACTTTGTTATAATATCATCCTAAATTTTATTAGAGTATCCTACTTTTTTTCCCGGTAGCTTGAAGGTAAAATGCTCAGTGGAGTGTCAGTGAAGGTAAAGTGCAAAAAAAAATGCTGCCGATGGCTGGTTGATCACACAAAATTCTGTGAAGATATTCAGGGTTACGTTGTAAAATACCTGGTACAGAGCCTTACGTGTATGTTACCCGAAACATTAGATACTTATAATTTTTCTTCACCAGAACAGATTTGCATAAAAATGCATAAACATGTGCTTTATGAATACTTACATTTTCATTTAGAGTTATTCTCCAGAATTTACGCGCAATTAGTTTTTAACTACGCCATGAATTCGGCTTTGTTGTCATTGGTTATTCTCCTGGTATACAAGAATTTTGATCACCCAAATGTAATTCTGCGAAAGGAGAGGTGTCACAAGGCCTCGAAATGTCATGCGGGCGAAATTCAGGAAAGAAAACTGAGAGCGCTTCATTTCAACAGAACAAGTACAAAAGAAAAATACTAGTGCGAGTTAATATATGATCATAATACACGATCACAGTTTATGGAATATGTTCGTTCGCAAGAGTAACATTGCCATAAAATTGATAATTCACCATTAATATACTTCTGTAGATATTCAACCCCTCAGATTGTTTAGCTCGAAGGTTGGTTACTTATCATTTGCACGAAGACAGCTAAACAGCTAATCTTGAGTTGTTTGTTTTGTTCGTTCTGCAAAACGTGTTGTGCGTAGCTCTTCGAAGGTTGTTTGAACTTCAAGCTCGATGAATAGCTTCATGACTCGTTTCTCGCTCCACGCATTCAATTACAGCTACGACAAAATGCAGCCTATACATGCGCGGGAAGCTCCCTCACCGTGTGTACCCTCCGAGGGAGTGCCAATTCGCCTTCAACAAGTGCAGTAATTCTCGGATAACTTATATGCCATACAGTCCGAGTTGTGCCGTTGATGCTGAAAATGACGAGGACAGGAAATACTAATGTCTCTGGACTCATAACGAACACTTCTGTATGATCCAAGAATAAAATATTTTCATTTGAACGAGCTCGACTCCTCGAAGAGGAAGCCTGACAGTCCGCGGAAGTGGAATTCTCTCCGGCCTCCGACGTTTTAGAATAGATATTGGTCCACCTCATGAAATAATATTTACAGCACTTTCACCTAGGCAGTAGGGTTCATTCCCTTCTCACAGAAAACTACACAGCGCCCAAGCAATGGCGCTCGTATTCCTATACAAACGTATTTGTATACAACAATGCAATGATTTCACCAAATATACCGAGATTCCGGAATGAATAACGGCAGCTCTAGCACCAGTTGTGCGGAAGCAGCTAATTAAGAACACATGCTCTGGTGATGCTCCTCGTTAATGGGCAGTAATGTAACTAACTCAACCAAGTGGTGCTTCGTTATCAGAATCCGCAACCACAGTGATAAACTACGTACCGTCCATATAGCTTAAGATGTGGCAGTCGGGCTTGGCCTGTACACCCCAGCATGCAAGGAGCAGACTTCGCGGAATCGTTGTTTCTCAGAACACCAAAGTAAATTGTTTGACCGACCGACATACCTACCAATCAATTTAATACAGAAATCAAAAGAGTAGCATCAAAACTGTCCCATGGCTGCGATCGGGAAGAACGCAATAAATTAGGTGACAAGATTAGTGTGCAGTTCGTAATTCGTACTGAAGATTCGGAGGTAAACTTGGCACAAAATCATGGCTGAAAAAACAAACAAACCAGTAAGACATGCGCTGTTTTTATTCAACATGCTAAATACTAAACGGTCAATCGAGAAAACCTGTGGGGAGCAAATCAGATAACAATATACTACGCGATTAGTACCTCTTTGCTCGTATATAGTGTAGTTGTGGCAATGCAAGATTTTGAGAGCTTGCTTCTTAGCTATACCATGCAACGCCAGCCTAGAACTTTACGTACTTCACGTCAGTAAGAAGGCACAGCTGTATTGTATACGTGATTGTGCATGTAAAGTATGTATTTCCAGTGCGCACACAACTAACACGCAGCGAGTACACACCGTACAATGCATGCACACTTAGTCCAGTAACAAGAAAAGTTTATTGTCCTTCCGTATGAACGACACAACTTCTAAAAACGCGACACGATGCCTACAACAGTAAAAACGAAAGTTCGCGTGTGTTTTCAGCTGACACAGTGAGTAAAAACCAACGGAGCGTACAGCTGAGAGCTCCGCATGCAAATGCCATCAACAGTGAAGCGAACATACGTGAAAAGTGCCACCATGTACTTCCGGTGGTGCACGTGATTCGCACCAAGTATACACTGCAGCTGGGCATCGCACAGCTTTAAAAAGAACACGCAAAGAAGCAGCACTCGTGGATTGACTCGCTGTCGGCAGAGAACACCGCTTTCAAGACCACTGCGGCGGCCGCTCGCCGGAAATCGCCAAGTGTTTATCTGATTCTCCACTAGGAGGTAGTGCGGGTGTTTGCAATGCGGCGACTTTACGAATATGACGTCATGGCTTCTCCTATATTTTTCCTTCCTCCATGAGCGCGAATGTGCGCCAAGATTACGTCACCTAGAAGGGAAGGCTGCCGAACTTTGGCGAACATTTTTTGCGAACAAGGGCGAACGCATCATGGCGTTCGCCCTTGGCGAACTAGGGAGCCTTCATGCTCGCGTAGCCTCCGGCGCGCACCAGAAAGCTCCCCATGGTGAACTAGAGTAACTCTATAGGTAGCAGAGTATCGCATTTGTTTTCCAATGCCATTAGCAACCTTGCACTGCAGAGAAGCCGGTGCACTGGACCGAAAGCTGTCACCGTCCACTTAGAACTTATCAAGTGACCATCGCGCACTCCGTACCTCCTTAGCTAAGAGCTGGTGCTGATATTTGCTTTAAATAGATGTCTCTAAGCTTCGACATACTAGCGTGGATTCAGCTCCATTTCGAAAAGCACACTGAAACACGAAGCCTGTTTGAAAAGCGCCGACCATATTTTTTTTTTTTTGCAGTGAGGTGCACACACAATGAGCTGGTGTGTTCACGAGGGAAAAGTAGCGCTAAATATACAGGACAAGAAAGAACACAAGCAACCACGGCGATGACTAACAACCTGGTGCGTTTATTCTTTCAGTCAACATATGTATACCACTATCACACACACACACACACACACACACACACACACACACACACACACACACACACACACACACACACACACACACACACACACACGCACGCACGCACGCACGCACGCACACGCACACGCACACGCACACGCACACACACACACACACACACACACACAACAAATTTAAATTCACAGCTGGCACCGAGGCATTGAGACATTCAAGGGGCATCTAAATAATGTCCTGAGAAAGAGAGAAAGTGAGGGAAGGTTTACACATGGGTCACATCTTTTTAGGTGTGATAAGCTTCTGTGATGAAACACGCGCGTTCGTCATGACATTTTGACAAGAGATGCGCTACTACATCTGTTCCAATGAAAAGGTAACTATCGGCATCTTGTTTGTGATCCTTCGTTTCAATGCTCGCGCAGCGCCCTTTTCGACCGATATAATAACACCCGCAAGAAAGAGCAATTTGGTACACAACACCTGGGCGACAATAAACAAACTGCTGCCCATGCTTATTCGTACACCTCGGTGTTCCCTACCTCTCGACACAGGATACAAGGTAATTTTGCACACAATTCAAAAGCCTAACACCTGCCCCGCCAACTTCTTCTTGAGAATATAGGCCACCTTGTGCACATAAATATAACCGCTACATTTAGCTGCAAGTTGGTCTCGGATAGTGCGGCAGTGGAGGGTAAACCCTGCTACGAGACTTTCATCAAAGTAAATCTGCAAGTTCAGGTATGCAACTTGGAAAAGATAACTTTTTTCAACATAGTGGCCACAAGACCTGTCTAGCGCCACCTTTATGAGTGCTCTTGCAATACTTCGCTCAACAATCTTCGAGTGGGTGCAAGAAAAAAAAAGAAAGAAGGATCGTTTGCCATCTGAACGCATGACGCTAACACACACGGCTATTCGAGAATGGTAGTTTTAAGTCTAAGAAGCGTAGTTCGTTGTCTGAAGTGGGCTGAGTGGTGAATTTACAACAACTACATTCCTTAAAGAACACGTCAAAATCGTCACAGCAGCACTCTGTTAATTACGGGGTTATTGCAGTAGAAAATTAAAAGTCATATACGTATTGTATCAATTTTAATGCGCTCGTCTGGCTTTGCTTGCTCTCAAGCCTACGGCCGTAGCTCGCTATAAATGTCATAAAGAACAGGAGGAAGGCAGGATCCTATGCACGCTCATTTAAGATTGCATAAAAGCCCCGCCGCGGTGGTCTAGTGGCTAAGGTACTCGGCTGCTGACCCGCAGGTCGCGGGTTCGATTCCCGGCTGCGGCGGCTGCATTTCCGATGGAGGCGGAAATGTTGTAGGCACGTGTGCTCAGATTTGGGCGCACGTTAAAGAACCCCAGGTGGTCGAAATTTCCGGAGCCCTCAACTACGGCGTCTCTCATAATCATATGGTGGTTTTGGGACGTTAAACCCCACAAATCAATCAATAAGATTGCATAAAACGATTATCATACAAGAATACAAAGGTGGATTGCATATAGAACTTTAAACACTAAAATCATGCCAACAGTGATTCCACATGCATTTTGAAACTCATGAAGTGAGCGATTGCATTTGCGGAAACGGGACTTTTCAGCTTCAAAACACACGTGCAATCACTGTCGCAGGTAGAATTTTGAAGTTTCTCTCGTTAGCTTCCAGAACTTCTTGCTACAATTGTTACACATTGCAGTCTTTGTTTAGTCACCTTCAGCTAACAACAACTACACCGCACTCCTCTTCCTATTGCTTGGCATTATGACATCACGAAACTAGCCGTATAACTGCCAATATGTAATAATTACACAATATAGCGCGCAAGCGAGGCAAGCTCCACGTAGTATTTTGAGATGCTCAACTAACACATGGTAGGAGGAAGGATGGTAAAAGCAGGTGAATTCACTAAACTATAAGCTGGAAAGAAAGAGCCTGGTGTGATCATTGTTTGCAGAATGTGACTTCAACGAGCGGGGTGTGTACCCTGAAGGCGGGATATAATGGCGCAGCAAGAACTTCAGCGATAGGGGCACGCAGTCTAAGAGTATTCAGCACAGAAAATTTACAATACAATAAAATGTACCCGTAACCTCAACTTGTGTACCGTGGAGTCACATGGCCCCTTTCCCTTCACCTTGTGACGGATGATTCTCTAATGAAACGAACTGAAAGCTATTACGTACGCGAAGCTTATACGACTTATTGCCCGTTATTTATAACGTACTGACGCTGCTGTACACTCTAAGCCAAAACGGAGCAACAGGGGTATAGGGGTTGCTCCTTTCAGGGAGCAATTGCATTGCCACTCCCATTACTCTCCTAAAAGGAGTAACTGCAGAGGGAGGAACCGTTACTCTCCTTTCAGTTCCTCCTTCGGGGGATGAACAGTTACTCCCTCCAGTTCCTCCCTGCAGACCAACAGTTACTCCCACCAGTTGCTCCCTGCCGACCAACCATTACACCCACCAGTTGCTCTTCTAAGAGCTACAGTTACTCTTTACCGTTCCTCCCACGTGTTCGCAGTTACTCTCTGAAAACCAACTGCACATGCTTCCAGTTACTCCTTGGGGAAATGAGTATTTATCTCGAGTATGCTTGTCACACGCTTAACACATGGCGAGAGCTCCTTGGAAGAGCACTGCTTGGGTGCTTCTAACACAAAAAGTGGACAATATTGAAAGGAAAATAAAAGCTTTATTGTTCTTTTTATGAGGCGACGTTTGACCACACGTAAAAGTAGACTTCGCCACACCACAGCCAGCACTAAACAAACACCATAATACATCAAAGGTTTTCTGCGTCATCCGTGGAAAAACAATCTTGAATTTCTAGCATAGGGCAGTCTGTGTCATCATTGGTGAGAGAAGGGCAACTTCTCCAATTCTGAAGAACTCAAGTTTCGCAGCT